TATTGTGGCTTAGGGCGAAGGTTTTTGCAGGCTTGTCGGGATGAGGGCCCGTCAAAGACTGCACCGATCCTAGTGGTTTACTTTGGTGGGTAGGGTTCCTACTCCTCTGTTGCCGTATCAAAAGAATCGCTTGCCACTGGGCTCTACATGCATCTTGGGATGTTGCTCGGTCTGCTAAGTCTTGATGCCTGGGCTTGGAGGTCTCCCGCCCAAGGATGCCCATGGACACGTCGTAGCGCTTCGACATGTTCCTTAGTGCGGTCGAGTTTGCTCGTTACGGCTGGGCAAAACATATCACCGACGACGACAACCACAACCACGACGACGACCAGTACAAACGCAACGACGACGGAACAGCAGCAGCAACGGCAACAGCCAGAGCCACAGCCACAACATCGACACCGGTACCACCCCTGCTACTCCCGTATGTAGACTTCCTCCGCGGATTTTCCCGACCGTGGCCACAAGTACGACTGCTCCCACCCACAGAAGAAGTCTCTCTCTCGCGCAGGCTTCGGGCCGGGCGGCGGCTCCGCGGCGCTCCGCAGCTGAGATGCCCGGAGGGCCGGCCTTGGTTGCGGAATGGCGACAATGGTGATGAAAATGACAATAACACAAAAATCTAATAACAATAGTAGTTATATAGTAATACTAAGAGTAATAGCATTAATCATCATAATAATGATCATGATGATGAGTTTAGGGCTGGTGCTGGTGGTGAGGATCCAGCTTCCCAGACACAAGGAGCTCGTCGAGTTTGGCCACCCCAACACTGAGTCCTCTCCTCCCCATGGATGCTGCAGGGGGCGTCGACTGTGACTTCGATGGCGCTTGTGGCTCCGGCCGCCCAGAGGGAGGCGGCCGAGGGACCTGCAGAGGCACAACAGCAAGTCTAAGTCTCAACGGCAAGCGCAAAAGCAAACGCGATCCAAGGAGAACTTGGGTTGCCATGGATTCAGTTCAAGTTTCAACTGACATAATTACAAGTAATGTGCCATGTGCCGCCGAACCTCCGCATGGTCTGCTAATCGCATCATGAAGATGGCCGATGAACATGCAGAACACACTCGGGCCAAGGCTTTAGGGCTCAGGGGTTGGCTCTCAAACTCCTGCGGGCATTCTGCTAGGCTGCTGGAAGGGCTCGACGCATGTTTCGTCTCGCTCAAGCTGGAGCCAACCGCAGGACATCTCTGCTTGTTGCAGCCCCACTCTCTCAATACTTTAGAGACGGGATCTCCACTTTCGGCTATGAGTTGGCGGGCTGCCGTCTTTTAAGTTTGGGGCTCAGGGCGAGAGCATGCTGCTTGGCCGTAACCCTGGGTTGTAAGGCTTGACTTTCATGCTATTCGTGCCAGCACCGATACCACCTGTACTGTACATCTGGCTCTGAGTGCCAAGCCCATCCTAAAGCTTCATCGGACCGACATCTCTGAGCTGATTCAGAGCTAGTCTGGTACAGTGGTCAAGGCTGCGGAAAGGCTCCAAAAACTCAGCCGCATCATGGAATCCATGAAGCCCACGGCTGGGGATGTGCATATCGACGGCTTCAGAAGTTGCTATACCTCTGTCCTTTTGCTGAGGCGCAAGCAAGGCTGCTGCGGAAATGCAGGGGTTGATGAAACTGAATGGGAGGCTCCAAAGGCAGGAAGTGTGCTTCCGATGATATGCAGCTAGTGAACTCCTCGACAACTCTTTCCAGTGACTGCCAGTGGAACCTCCGAGCAGGGTCTTCTACGCGGCTAGGCCCAACGGGGCAAAGACAGATCAGAATCTCAGAACGGTTCGCACCCCCGTAGCATCATCGAAGTTGTCGAACACATCATTGATGTTTTCGAAGGACTCTTCGCGTGTGACGTATTCCTGGGCAGCAGGACGCGAGCAATCGAGAGCACTTCCTGCTTGGCACCCTCAGACTTCTCTGCAAGCTGGAAGCATCCACTTTCAACTCCCCAGCCATGTAGAGGTCCTGGTCTGGGCCAGAAACGGCAGGGCGTCTTAAACAAAAACCTCTTCCAGTGTTGAGGGTCCATCGTCGGGGAACCCCACGAGCCAACTGTATATTCGCTGAGCATGCACGACCGCTGAGGAACACGCCACCAGCAAGGGGATCTGCGGCTTTGAGCGCCAGCCTGCCACAGAACAGACTGAAGGCTCCGGTCCAGTTGGACGGTTGGGTGAGCAACAGGCTCGGACATCCAAAATACTAATTCCTCTATATTATATCGCAGGCAGCATCACAAGCCCTCTACCCTCGCACGAACTTGCTGCTCACGGTCCGAATCCTTGAAATCCGATTCCTTAGATTCAGATTTCCAAAATCTTATTCTTCGGTGCGTCCATCTCCCCCAGCCAAACCTCCGAAGGTGACGCTGGTGAGACCCCCTGGCGGCGGCCAGGATGACCGGAGGAGCACGTCAGGACCTAGGTAGCTATGTGGCTTTGGAAAGGGCTCTCAGGAATGGATGTTGGACACGAGGGACCTGTTTACGGAGCGGATATCTGCCGAGCGTCCTGCAGACGCTGGTCACGCTCCAATCACAAGCATCGCGTGCATCTATGGTAAACTTCCGGAGGCCATCCGAGACTGATCAGCTCGTCTATACAGATACTGCTCCGTCTGGCTGTTCGAAGCGATAGTCGAAGTAAGTGCGGGGCCAGGAATGCCACAAGCAATCCGCTTCTCGCTGAGTCTCCGGCCATGAGGCGTACCCACCGTCACGCACTTGCCCCACTCTTTCACGACCTCCAAAACCGACGGCGCCAACTCCAGGTCTCCCCGGCAGTCGAAGGCGAAGTCGGCGGTCGATCCCTGGAGGAGGCCAGATACGGAAGAGGACGTGGCGACTGCAGTTGTCATTGCTGCGAAGATCACGAACACTTTCGACTTTTCTTCCAAGTTGCAATGAGCTTTAGGATTTGATCCTGCGCCGGTGGAGAGCAACAACTCATGGAGGTACAGGCCTGCACAGCGACGGGTCCTTGATGCTGACGCCCTCTGGCAGAGAATACGGATTCAGGAGGCTGGTTGCACCCCATTTTTGGGCAAGGTCCTTGGCAGTAGCAGCTGCAGGAAAACGGCCGTGGAAAGACCTGTGCATCTGTCCTTCTAGCGCTGAGCAGAGGCAGGAAAGCTCCCAACAACTAAGGCCGCGACGAGCCTCGAAGAATACGGATCCACTGCTACAATCCTTGAGACTGTGCGACTGTACACGAGCTGGCTTGAAGTGGTTGCTTCAACATGTGGGATAACGGACGCTGAGGAGTGGGTTGTGGTGCCGTATGCACTTCCGGATTCGGAGCTTAGGGTATGAAGCCGCCAGGAAGCTGCACATTGACCCTATATCCCAGACTCCAGACTTCGAGTCTTGAACCACAGCCTCAAGACCTCTAAGCCTCAAGCACCCCAAGCCCAAAACACTTAAACGTGCATTCGCCACGACTTGCTGCTGCCAAGCCGCTTCCCAGCCCCTGCTTTCACAAGCGCAGCAATCACGGCCAGGCCTTCGGCCTGCGCCCGGAACTTGGAAGCTGGGCGACTGTGGCAAGTCTATTTACCATATATATATATATATATATATATATATAGCAGAACCCTAGAGGGCGGTTTGCCGATTGAATTGCTCCAGGCCCCCTTCCGTACCCGCATATCTGGCTAAATTCTCATCGAAGCCTGCGCGCCAAAGACGACAGCGGACGCACCCCGCTGCACACGGCCGACATTCCAGACCTGAGGTGATCAGTGGTTCAACAGCAAGTAGAGTGAGCCCAGAAGGCTGCTGCCGGCATTGTCCTCCGATCTCCCGACAAACAAACAAGCACTAGATGCACGACACTGCTAGACTCTAGCAAAGACAGAGGGCCGCAAGATTTGCCGTGGAAGTTTGCGTGCTTCTGCTTACTTCATTTGGGTTGTGCTGTGATGGATTGTGGTTGCGACTTGCTTCATTTGGGTTGTGTTGTGATGGGCTGTGGTTGTCGCCGTGAGTCGTTGTCGTGATCGTTTTGGTTGATTGTGGTGTGTCACGGATGGCAGTGGTAGTGGTGGTGGTTGGGGTGGCGGCGCTGGTGCTGGGTGCTGGTGCTGGTGCTGTGCTGTGTGGCGCGGCGGTGGTGGTGGTTGCTGCTGCTGTTGCTGTTGCTTGCACCTGGTGGTCTGTTGTTGTGCTGGGGGTAGTGCTTCTTGCGGCTAGCACCATACCAACTCTCAGATATATCATGCATATTTCGAACATTTGCCGTCACTGGCAGGACTTCAGTTGTTGTTTTGCCGAACAGCCAAACTTCCCTCTGCTCGCAGGGTTTATACGTTTTCCCAGAGCTGTCTGCTGTCAAAGAGCAGCTCCAAGAGCGGCGGCCACCCCGCCTCCGAGGAGCCCAAGGTAAGCCAAGGGCGCATCCTGCCGATTCATTTCTCTTTCAAAGTCCTGCTCAGTATTCCTGGTTATCTTCTACTATACCACACAATACCATACTTTACTATACTACATTGTACTGCACTATACTCTACTGTCTTTCAGGATGTCGCTCCAACCTGTCGGCATCGCGTCCCACATGATGTCAGATGCTCGAACTGGTGTCGATGTTCAGTGGAACTGTACAGTGGTAATCGCTAGCAGTGATGTTAGGCAAGCATCACAGAATTCCAAAAAGAAACGAAAGATGCAGTATCTTTTTCCATTCGTCGATTTGAAGCTTGTTGCCCTGGAACATAACACGTCGAACTGGACGCTCAGTGGGCTGGGGTTCGGATTCAGACCGTTGCCTTTCCGGCCATGTCAAGCATTGTCGGCCGCAGCTTGTCTACACACACGGAATGCTGTGATCATAACAACATCCACCGATGGCTCGGGCTAAGTAAAGCAAGTATTTCGGCCTGCAGGCCGTTTACGGTGCAGAATCCGTAAGTTCGCGCCCGCCTTGCGCACCTTGATGAGGGAGTGCGCGTGAACTACGCTGTACTCCTTGGGCAGAAGATACCAAACTGCCAAACTGCTGCTCCTGTTCTTGCCATCAGTCACTCTCATGAGAAGGCTGGCTAGTCTCATCATGATTTCGATTATCAACTACTGGCCATGCCACTGACACCTGCGCAACTGTGACTCAGGCTCGATCCGAGAAGGCGCTGGTGCCTTTGAAGTGATAGACCTCTGTGCTCCCGTAGGAGAACCGGGGCCGGCTATCGGCCACCATCACCCCACGGCCTCAGATCAGCAAGCAAAATCTTCGCACCGACTGTGAACCAGGAGCCCTAAGCTTTACAAGTAGAGCCCACGAAGCCTATCGAAGCCGCTTCCTTGCAGCTTGGCTTGAACAAGTCCGGGCTGCTTGTCGCGTGATGGACGGAGTCACAGTAGTTTGACTCCTTGGTCACACTGGCGTGGCGACACGTCGTGTTTGTTGTGGCGGCTAGGAGCAGCAACACCAGCAACAGCAGCGGCAGTAGTAGTCGTCGTGGTCGTAATCGTAGAAGTAGAGTGGTCGTGGTAGCGGCGGTAGTAGCGGTAGTGTCGGTAGTGCTGCCAGTGGTAGTAGTGGCGGCAGGGGTAGCAGTGGTAGCAGTGGTGGCAGGGGTAGCGGTGGTAGCAGTGGTAGCAGTGGTAGTAGTGGTAGTAGTGGTAGTGGTGGTAGTGGTGGTGGCAGTGGTAGTATTCCCTGTCGTCGTCGCAGTAGTACTAGTATGTACAGTCTAGTGGTAGCAACTGCTGTAGTAGTCCTGAAACCAACCTTTCATATTGCTGAGCCATCAAGGTTAAGTAAATATCATTACAACAGCACTCATCTTCCGATGGCACGAGGAGGCAACAATTAAATAGCATCATCATTGCAGAGCTGGGGTCTGCCGCTTTGCAACCCGCACATTCGCCACAGTGTGCTTGGTAGCACGGTATGACGTGATCACCAGGCTGAAACTCGACCACGCCCTCGCCTGCAAAAGCAGTAGACTGGAGAGCCCCATGCAAAACCTGACTTTTCGTGGTCTCATGCAAGTGGTGGCCTGTACTCTTCCACGACCGCTACACACCAGCCAATCTCAAGAGCGGGGCCTACGTCCTCCACGATGGCAGAAGACTCGAGGCCAAGGATTCGTGGGTATGGCTTCTCCTGCCCAGGGATCTCTTCGGAGAAACTCTCCATTTGAGAGCTTGTGCTGCGGATGGTTGCTGCTTCCTAAAATCGAGACACGTCTGTGCGACAAGGGAAGAGCTCTCCACGGATTTAACGTTGTGCCGACGAACCCGCAATTTTGCCCAGTCCCAGCCATGGTGGCTGTCGACATTAGTCTTGCCATTCTTGCTGCTACCGCTCTTGCTTCCCATCTGTCATTTCCAATATCCGGTCGGCTGCACCTTCTCCGCAACGAGATCGACCCGTGAGGGCACTGCAGCCACCTGAGACCAGTAGCATTGCGTTCTGCCAGTGCTTCCACCACGGAAAACTAATTAGGAGCTGAGGATAGGTGGCTCTCAACTAATCTGCACGAGCACGCAGTGGAGCTCGTCTTCAAAAAGCCCCGCTTGAGCCCGGCCCACCCGAGATCCTGTCAGTGCTCTGGCCTGGCGCACCCGTACCTCACCGGCCTGCGGGGGCGCCACCTGCAGCTTTTTAGGCCGGCTGTTGCATCAGGTCTGGGCCCGTGAAGTTCATGCAGCTTGTGGAGGAAGCCTACAACTATCGTTTTACAGCTAGACTGGACGAGTAGTGGTACGGAATTCCAGTCTCACGCGCCTTCACTTTGACCAGCTGAAGTGCAGTCTCATCCGGGAGGGATACGGCTGCCAAGGAGTCCTGAACAGCGAAGGTTGGAAGGGCTCGGGCCTGAGCCTGCAAGAAGCAGGGCTTTCGCCCAACTGGTCAGATGCAGCATCTGGAGATGTGTTCGTGCCAAGATTCGATCTCCTTTGGGCTGCCATCAATGATCTGCACAGTTTGCAGAGCATTGGTGGCGGCTTCTACCTGCACAACCAGGTGGCGAGACTTTCTGGTCTTGAGCTCCCTGCCAAGGTCAGCAAGCAACCTCGTCTGGCTCTACTTCTCCTGGGATTTGGCTTCCAACTTCCCTTTCCGCAACCCTGGCACCCTTCCTGCTGCAGCCCGGTTGGCATTGTCGAAATGGCATGGACACAGGTCGTGCTTGCCTCCTCTCGCGCTTCTTCGGCCCCCTCTGGCGTTGTCTCGCCTGCGACGCTGACCGCACGCCGACCAGGTAGATGTACGAAATTTAGGAATCTGGGACTTTGCACAGTGAGGACATGCCCTGCCAGTCTTCAGGAATCAAACCCAAGGTTCACCGCTCCGTCTCCTGCGTCCTCACTTTCCCCGGCCTGCATCGGCCACCGTCGACTCCGAGGGCTCCTCCTGGAAGCAGCCAGGATCCAAATGCAGCAGCCGACAAGGCCCCAGCATTTAGGAGTGGCAGGAGCTGCGAGCAGGTTCTGCAGAGCCACTTCCCCACTTCTTCCGAGCTGCTGGTCGCTTTTAGCTTCGGGGTTCACTTGCGTTGTAGAGTCCTGACTTGCATAAGCCACTCTTCAAACAGTAGGCCGCGGGAGTGTTTACAGGGAAGGCTCCTTTGCAGAACAACCTGAGTATATATGTGCATAGGACCCGAGGGTAGCTCGGTACATGATGACCTTTTCTTGGAGACTTCGTCCTTCGGAGCGACGTCGGTCGCTTCATCCGCATTCGCAGTCTCTGCACCACTGGGCCTTCGAGCTTGTCGCAGCTGCGGGGTGGCCCCAGGCAAGAGTTCTCAAGGTGGCCAATCCCAAAAACAACCCCGTTGCGGAGGTGCTGGTAAGAATCATCAAGTGTGGGAGTGTAGGAAGAGGCTCCAGAGCTTTGAGGGTAGCCGCCGAGCCTTTTCGGCTTCAGATGATTTGGTAAGGATGCCCCGTTTTTGAGGGCCGACAGCCCAGTGGCGGACCATACTACAGTAGCCCCAGCTGCTATGCGAACCCCGTACAAAGCAAGATCCACTCTTGCCTTTGGTTATACAAATAGACTCAGCGATTCTTGGCTATTCTAGCCCTACGCAGAGGGCTAAGAAGCAATACAGGAAAAGAAGATAGAGTGGAGCAACTCGCAAATGCTCCGACCTGTCTACCGACCGCGTTCTGAGTGTGGGATCTGGGGCAAACCTGGTGAATCTGAAGTGTTGGCGGCATCAAACTTGAGCCGCAGTCTTGAGGACCAGAGGACTGTGATACCGTCTTGCCAAGCTCGAAGCAACTCCTTTCGAGCTCTATGCCTACATAGTTTTGCAACACCACCATGCACGACCAACAGCGCCAAGACACTCCTCGGCCAATGTAGGATCCTAGGCACAGCGGATTTTTAGGCTCTGTGGATCTTCAGAACTAAACCCAAAACCCTAACCGACCCGGAAAGTTTATCATGAAGGCCAGCGAGCTGCTACAGAGTAGACGCTCGGAGCCAGGGACGTCCCTGGATCTGGGCACCATCGCAGCACCCCATTCAAGAAGGAGGCATGAAACTTCAGGTGGTCCTGGATGAAGCCTGAGTCTTGCCAAGGGCAACTCCACAAGCCAAACTAGCTTTCCAAGATACCTCCCGTGTCGTAAGAAGTCACCCTACGACGGCAGCCCTAAAGTTCACAGGCTTGCGAAAAGGACCGTGGTCTTAAAATCGGTAAAAGAAGACCGTCTTCTCAACAACAGTGATCCAAGGCCCAAGCTGGAAATGAAGTAGTAGGAATGGTCGTAGTCCGACCTCGTTGCCCCCAAGCTTTCCGTACAAAGCAGGATATGTTTAGAAGCTTGGTAAGCCGTAACCGATACAGTAATGCTCGGGAGGCTTCAAAACCAACCGGCCGCAGCAGAACTGGGTTCAGAGGCTCAGAGGCTACTTGGTCGGAGGCTCCTCCAAAGTCGAACTCTTCACGGGCTCTCGAAACCGGGGCAGAGTTTCATTTATGAAACTGAAAATCGGACATTCCTGCACCCGCCTATACAGAATCTTCATCACTACGTAGACGAAGCTGTCCGGCACAGCTTGCTGCTATGCTACCGGGAATCTCAACAAGAGCAGTACTGACACTTGTGGCTCCTGTGCCCAACCCGGGTCAGCTCAGCTGCTGCATTCGCAGTGTCAGCGGAATGCCCTTCTCGTCGCAAACCTGGATCAAACTACAGCAACGGAAACTGTCATGATGGCAATGCAAGTTACCACTCGAGAAGCTGCCCCTTGCTGCCATGTACTTTAGCTACACCTCCCGAGATAACAACAACCTTAAACTTGCACCGTCAACGCCCCTGAACAAGACAGGCGGGGAACGGCTTTCAGCAGGCCCGGTTTGAGCTGCTCCGAGAGGAACATGTCCGATGTACCTGCAGTGTGCCAGCAGCTTCTGTGCGTTTCGGTGCCTTATTCCACAAACCTCAACATGCAGGCCTTGATCCACCAGGAGGCGCAGTGGTGGACCCCGATAGCGCCTGTCATGACGAGCAATGCACTTTGGTTAGCCATGCCAGCAAACCGTACGGACCCTCAGCCGGTCCGTGCTCATGTTTCCCAATTTCCACAAGCTTGATTCCGTGACATGGGGAGTTGTCTTCTCCATAACTGAGAAAGGTGGACATCCGGCCATTTCAATGATTGATGAAGCGCTCAGGTGGTGTGTTCCCAGTAGTGCACGCCTCAGAACACAATTGCCGAACACGAAGATCTGAAGGGGAAGATGTGTATGTTTGAAGCGCCATGGACTGAGCTCACACTAGAGCCAAAACGGGCAAACTGCCGGTATGCCTCCCTGCTTACCTGCCTGCCAGCCTGCCCGAGGAAGAAGGGAAGGAGACAAGAGACTGAGTGAGGGAGTGAGTGAGTGAATGAGCGATTAATGAATGAAACAAAGAGTGGAATCATGTATGAATGAAGGACTGATTGATTGATCGATTGATCGATCGTTTGATCGTTTCATCGCTTGACTGATTGATTGATTGATTGATTGATTGATTGACTGATTGATTTGATTGATTGACTGATTCAATGAATGAGCGAAGGCATGAAAGCATGCACGAACGAACGAACGAACGAAAAAAAAAGGGAGTGAGTGCCTGGGTGGGTGGATGGATGGATGGATGGATGGATGCATGGACGGATGGATGGATCTTTGGATGGATGAGTGCATCAGTGAACAAAAGCACGTGTGTACATGCGTGCACCCACATAAGATGCCGGCATAGATGTAGAAAGCATGCATAAACCCATCTCGAGCAAGGGCACCGAAGCCTCAAATTTCTTCGAACCCTCGCCGGCGGCGTTCTTCCGTCCCTTTCAGAACTTCCCCAAGTAGCTCGGGATGACTCATGGCATTCCTGTGTACCACAGCCCTAAGGCATGAACACAAAAAATCCCCTGAATCGCAAACACGAGGAAGCTATCTGTGTTGAAACCTCGCAGTGGCCGGGAATCAAGACAGCTTGAACCCATAGCTTTAGCCAAGCGACTCCCGAGACAGCCACGACCCCAAGCAGGTACCCCCAACTTTTCCAAGGCCCAAAACCCTGTCCGAATCCAATCCTCAGAAGTTCCACCGCATCGTTGTCGGCCCAGGCAGCTTTGTCCTCGCCTGGGATTCCGGAAAATCTGACCATGCTACCGCAATGTTGCACTGGCCGTACTTGTAGGTGCGGAGACAAACAGTAATTAGCATGTTCGTGTACACACATGTACAGAATTACACAAGATATATCTATGTATGCATGCGTGTGTGTGTGTGTGTGCACAGTTGTCAAATGTCTATCCTACTTGTTTTTGCCCCAGACATTGCATCCGTGCCAGCCAAGCTCTCGTACGGCGTCCTGGTATCGAAACACTGCAGAAAGAAACATCCTGCATAAAGAAGCAGTAGAACCGACAAGAATCTTCGATGCACCTAAAAAGCCACCTGCAATTCCTGCACGAGCCTATGTAAGCCCCAGAAACCTCCGAAACCTGTCTCGGCCTTTCTTCGTGACCCGACATGACCTTCTAAGGCACCAGAACGACATTGAAAAACCGTACAGTCTCACTGCCGGGAGGCCGAAGTAAAGGTTGAATGCCTTCTGCCCCCACGGTGCTTCGGAGGGATTCCTCACATCAGGAAACTGCCAGATGTGATAGCAACGAGACTGTCAGCTCTGGCAAAACCTGATGAGCCGATGATGCTGATAACAATGGCGACGGCCATGGTGGCGCTGATGGTGAGGACCATGAGGGTTACAGTGAGAGCAGTTATAATGGCGAGTATGTTGCAAACATGGCGTGGGTAAAATTTGGATACGGACACGAACATGGGGACTCTTTGCTGCCAGGCATCGAGATCGGTGCGAAGGCCGAAACAGACCGGTACATGCCGGGGTTCTTCCTCAGAGGTTTGCCAGCAGACGCGGTAAATAACTCCGAGTAACCAGGCCTGAATGGCAAACGCACTTTACACTGAGCTCTCTGAGCTTCGGTATTTTCTGTGGGGTTCTTCGGCAACGAGCACCCTGAGGCGCCGGCAAAGCTGCCACGAGAGCGCCGTGACCACCCATGGAGTGACCCATGATGCCCAGCTTCTCGGGAAGAAGCCTCAAGAAGGAGGCATGGGAAGGCGTAATGTACAGGAGTGGATTCGTATTTGGGGCTCGGAGTTGAGAACGCATCTTTGGCCCCTTGACTCTGCACCTGGCAGACACATGTGCAAACATGTACTGTATAGTTGCATGATGTTGCTTGTGTCTTGCGGCACGCCTTCACATACGCATTCGCAAACTTAACATGCGCTTAAATACTTTCAACAGGTGTATGGCAGCCCTGCCACCTGGCTCAGCAAACCCATCTGTTGCCAAACCGTTCGACTTCCCACCGCCCGGTACGGAAAACCGCAAGGAACGAAGCATGGAAGTACCAGCTTGCGCAACAGCGCTTCTAGCAGGTGACACCTCAAACTTGAAAGCCCAAATCCCGCGTCCGAGCTACCAGCTCCCTAGCGCGACCCAAGGAGTTGTCAGTCGGGAGGCGGCAGCTTTGCAACTAGAGCACTGGGCAGCTCCTCATACTATAGCCGATTTGGATTGGGAGTCATAGCATGCAGGGAAGGCAGGCTTCTGGACTACAAGACCCAGGTGCAAGTGTTGGGGTTTGAAGTGTGACTCAGTGTGACCGTTTAAGTTTAGAGGTTCACAGAGCACATATCGCTCCCGCAAGCCTCCACTCTCGGCCGGAGGGTTCAGGACTGCAGTCATGAGCTTGTCAACCATGATGTCAGTGCATATTTGCCTAAAACATTCGGTATCCTCATGTAGATTCCTAGACTCCTAGACATCTTCGTCATGACCGGACGATCTGCTGGCAATCACCGGCAGAGGCGGCGCCCGCAGCAACAGCAGTAGAACCAGCACCACCGCCGCCGCCTCATCTTCATGACCGTCACTATCAGTATCATTATCTTCCTGCTCCACCGTCGTCATCAGTGGCAGCACCCCCCCCCCCCCGCACTGGCTCCCCGCCGCGGCGCGTTGACATCAACGTCTGCAACGATTTCTCACCCCCGAACCACAACCAGCGGTGCAGGAAGGAGCTGTTTGCAGCACAACCACCACCACTGCCGCCTCCACGATCCAGGACAGTCACAACAACCGCAGGAGTAGCCCGGCAGGCCGTCGGCAGAGGGGCCGCAACAGTCGCAGTGCAAGCAGGCAAGAGCGCCGTCTGAAGGATTTGTGGTAGCGAGGTTAACGCGCAGCCAAGCCGTGGAACGAACCAAGAAGAGCACAACGAACTACCACAGCGACGACGAACCCTGACAGTCTTCCAGAGAACCACCGACACAATCGCAACAAAACAAGACCTCAGGGCCAACACGGCAAAGCCCCCTGACACTGATTCATACTTTCTTGGTATCTTGAAAGTCCTGTGTGAGGTAGTCCAGCATCCTGTAGTGTTTCCTGGGCACCATGCACAACGAAGCCACCGGCTCGACTAGGCGACACCACGCGCAAAAATCTCGGTTCTGAAACTGCCAATCATGCTTCAATATGAAGTGGGGCACAACCCTGCCAAACTTCTGTGACCATGAAAGTCATTCACTACTACGCGCAGCAGCAATTGCAGTCGTCACTGTCGCAGGCGGATTCGTCTACCCGTTCACTCTTCACTGTTGCTACGTAGATTCGATTGTTATGAATTGTAAAATGGAGCCAGGTTGCTTGTACTTCTCCGTCGTTGCATTGACGTAGTAGCCTTTGTTGCCACAAGCATCGAAGCTGCAGTGCTGTTAAGCTTCACGTGATCCTTCAAGCCTTAGAACCGATACTCATGACAACCCCGCAGACTCCCGAAGCTCGGAGCCATCATCCCCTCAACCCAAACCCTGGAAGAACCTTTGCGAAGTAGCTGCATCACGATCTCTCGGCCGGGAGGCTGGCCCCCACGCCCACGTCGAAGGTATCCTCGTCCGGGACGCCCTCGCCGCGTGGCGAGGTGTCCGGCATGATAAGGATCAGCCTGAGAAATCTCAGGACGGAAGACCAAATGTCAGGCACTCCACGCTAAATAGCAGTGAACGCTATGTTCGACGAACCGGTCGGGATGAGGCTTGGGTGCACTCGCAGGCCGGCAGTGGCAGCAGCTTCGACATTGATGACAATAGGAGAACAGGAATCATAAACATGAACATCGTGAAAGCGACGGCAGCACAACCACAAGCACCACATTGGGATGTTGGAGACTTCGGGACAGAATTTCGACTGCCACTGCCAGTGCTGCTGCTGCTGCTGCTGCTGCTACTGCTGCTACTGCTGCTGCTGCTTACGACGACGACGCCTGCCAGGACTTTTACATCCACGTGCCTAGTACTGCGACTACTATTGCTGCAGCTGGACGACGAGTCCCACTACTACCACTACCACTACCACTACCACTACTACTACTACACTACCACTACCACTACCACTACCACTACCACTACCACTACCACTACCACTACCACTACTACACTACACTACCACTACACTACTACTACACTACTACTACTACTACTACTACTACTACTACTACTACTACTACTACTACTACTACTACTACTACTACTACTACTCCTACTCCTACTCCTACTCCTACTCCTACTCCTACTCCTACTACGACTGCTGCTGCTACTAGCCCTCTTCTACTGCTTCTACTACCACGACGACGTCAAGGACTTCTGCTGCTGCTGCTGCTGCTGCTTCGACGACGACTACTATTACCACCCTTGCTGCATGTTGTTGCTACGCCGCTGCTCAATCCCCTCCTCGCCCTCCTCCTCCGCCTCTTCCTCCTCCTCATGCTACAGCGACCCATGTTCGCTTGTTCATGCCGGTCCGGCTTTTCAGGCTAACAAACCTGGCCGCAATCCTCCCCTGCTCTCCGGTTCCAAGGCCCAGGCTTCAGTCGCTGCGCCATAGCCAGGCCGGCCCCGCGCTGGGCAAAGGACTCGTCGGTGCAGGTCAGGCCGGAGAGCCAGATCACCTCAGCATCTGTCGTGACGTAGTAAAAGTAGCAGCATTGGCAGCAAGACAGAAAGCACACCTGCAGTAGCTGCTTCTAAGCGGGCTTGGTGGCATGCTCACTTGATATCTGCTGCTTCCGATGTTTTCTTGGCCGTACTGTTAACACTTCCGAGTGCGGGCAACTACGACTTTACAACATTCCGATCGTGGTGACGGTAACCAGTGGCACTCAATAACATGATGAAACCAACATGCACACTTGCTTTGCAGCAAGGGCCCAGGGAAGGCTCTAAGGTGCTGACCCCTGGGAACCTGAGCGCCGCATACTCGGTTCAGATTTCAGGTTGTGAGATGTTACTGGCACCAATGAATTCAGGGACCGATTCGAGCGAAAGGACCGCAAGGGGTCATGGGTGACGAGCGGTGCTCAAAAGCTATGCTGCCCAAAACAAGCTGGGCTGAACAGAACCTTCCTTGAGCTGCGCTTAGGAGACTTTGGGGGCAGGCCACCAGTTCATGTTCGGATTAGAGGGATTGGCTTTGCATTGTTGGCGTCGCGCCAAAATCGGTGGCAGGTTGCATAACTCAGTATTGTTCAGTGCACTAGTAATGGCTGCTTCAATGCTTTCATGTCCCTTCTTTGACAGGAGTCGACAAACAGAATCCGAAACATGCAAGATCCCCTACAACTCAAAGCAGAACTGAACTCACCGCGTCGACGGCGCTTCGGGATCACGCGACGCCTGTTTGTGCTCAAGACATCCCCACATCCTCAGCCCTCCTAGGCTGCGGAGGATTGATGCCTAGCCACTTCGTCGGTGGAGCGCTAGGCACGAAGGCCGAAAGCTTCATCGAGCAGTCGCCCAGCACCTTTGCAGCTCGCCGTAGATCCGTGGGGGGGGCACGGGCCTACTTTCGTCTCTAAGGCATGAAGGTCTTCCTTGTAACAGCAAAGCTGCAGCAGCCGCAGTGCTGTATGCAGGACCGAAAACGACGGGGAGGACCAGCAGAAAGCAGCAGCTGCTGCTTCACTACACGAACCCATGCCGAGACACTGGGCTGATGTGCTCCTGAGACGGGCCATGGAATGGGATGTTGGCAGCTTCAAGCATCACAATAACAACAAAGTAGCCGCTGTAGCCACAATCAAAACACTCGGGGACAATTATGCCAGTGTTGATCCCCGAGCCATCAAAGACTTACTCATATGAGACCTCCCAGGTGCACCCCGAAGCAGGACGACTGCGACGAGTATGACCACCAGCAGCACCACGACGACAGGATACGATGAAGAAGGCGGGGCGGAAGCGCCTCCACGTCGCTCCCCCAGGTACTCGCGGCACTAGGTAGCACACAGACGAGCCCGACAAGCCTCATGGTGAACCAGACGGAAGAGCCCGAAAGGCCGAATGGCGATTGGACAGTTCGAAGAAGGTCGACGGCCGAACTTCCAGCCCATGCTTTAGGGCCTAAGTTTAGGGTTCAGGGTTTCCATGAACCGCGGAGTCTCGGATGCCGGGGCCGAGCGGGCCTGAATTCATGTGCGCAGCGATGATACTGACCAATGCCTCCTTGTACGGATCGCAAGACGCCCGATGTGTTACCACACTGCTTTGAACTGTGATTTACAGGGGCCCCCCGAAGGGGGTATGGCAAACACTGTTTACTAGCAAGGGCTGGCGAGAATCCGATGCGCATGCAACGCATCTGCGCACATCTGTTTCCATCCTCCCATGGCATCCACCCACCCCTCTGCCCGCCTATGATTTTCGTCGTCTTGTTCAGGGTTTCTCTGCTGTGTCCGCTCCTCCCAACCCGCTGGCCGTGGTGCAGGAATCAAATCGCTTGCGGCTCGAGAAGGCATGAAACCTTTTCTTGTCCCTTGGAGCGGAGGGGCGCAGAGTGGGCCGAGAATCACAGTGTCAGCCGGGAGAGGCAGGGGTTGCAGTGGGGCAGGCGGCAGCGCAAGGCAGGGATAGGAGTAGGGGCGGGGAGGAAGGCAGGTGAAGGGGCAGGGGCAGGACGCGGCAGGGGCAGGGCCAGCAGCCAGGGCTAGGGGGGCACTCCGCAGCACTCTGCAAGGCTTTGCAAGCCTTGCGGAGCGTTGCGGAGTGTTGCGGAGCGTTGCGGAGCGTTGCGGAGTGCTGTCCCCTCGTCGTCCGGCAGCACTCCACAACACTCGCAAAATCTCGCAAAGGTTGCAACACAGTCAAGGAGGGTGCCGCCACCGATGCCGCCGCCCACCCCGCCACTGCCCGCCGCTCTGCGCGAAGTGCGCCCGAGCCCGAGCCCGATTTCGAGTGAGCCGCTCCAGCTCGAGCCCACTCGACGCGAGCCCGAGGCGCCTTCACCGCCGTCGCTGCCCCCGCTCGGCGGGGCTTGGGACTACGCAAACTTTCCAAAGCCTTCCGCCCCACTGCGCACAGGTTGCTCACGCTGATGGAGGAGGAGATGAGGAGGAGGAGTGGGAGGAGTTGTAGTCCTACTGCTCACAACCTGACGGTGTGCCTCGATATCACCTTGCAGGCCCTATTAAGGCTTACTAAGGCCCGAAACTGCTCAATAACGAAACAAACTATAAAGGCCTACTAGCTTTTGCTAGGGCTTGCTAGTGCCTGCTAGGCCTTGCTATCTCAGCTGCTTGTCTCGTTTGAAACTCGATTTGGCATACCCCCTTAGGGGGGTCCCTTTAAATCACCTCCCATGCTTGGGGAACAACGACAATTCCCATAGCCAACGTACAGGATCTAGATGACATTTAACAGAAACACAACGAATACTTCGAGAAGTATCATGGCTACTGTTGTTTCAATCACCAGGAGTGGTGTTCTCACGGTTCCCACGGCTTGCTGCTACTTTCACTGCGAGCAAGAGCATCAGTTGTCGCAGTAGCTGCCGCGGCGCTTTTCAGACTCAGATTGGGAACTGACAGAGTATGACGGCGACGGACTATTCCCCGTTTCAGCTTTGTCGATAAGACCCAATACTGCTAGTGCTGTTGCACTTGTTCTTTACACTGCTACTGCCTCCACAGCTGTACGCCAAGCAGCCGCGGAACCCCCCGCCCGAGGCTCAGAAACCAAGACCCTTCCGCCCACAAAGGCAAGAGTCTAACCCTCAAAGCTCGAAACCGTGCCCCTGCGCCACACAACAGGCCAAGTCTCAAAGCGGTAGACGGTCCCTCCGTAGCAGCAGTGCGACCCGATCTCCAACAGCTCAGGAGGGGCCATCATATGCCGAAGCATCCTGCTGATGTGATGGCATCGCTCTTACCACTTCCTTCCTGCTGTTGCTGATTTATAAGCTTCTTAGCGGTGCAATACCCGAGATGAGAAATCCTTGAACTAGGTGTCGGAGTAGGGCATGTAGCAATGTAGCTATTGCATACCCAGAGCCTTAGATTCTGAAGGCCCCACGGCCTCTTCATCGGAACGAATACCATCACAACATGATTGTGACGGTGTCCCACAATGCCACTGCTCGACATGGCAGAATGCTAACTGGAACCCACTGTGCTTCCGGCTCTCGTTGACCTCCAGGGTCAAGACTACAGCAGACTCCAGAAACCCATTGAGGCGCTGAGACGTTTAGAGGCTGAGGAGCTTACAGAGGCTGGATCGAAATAAGTAGTCCTGCCTGGCGCCTGCAAAGGAGAAAACCGAACCCGCAACAACTCAATACGGCAGTAGAATAACACAGAAGCATCAAAGCGCTCTCTAGTCATTCAGTGTTCCGCAAGGACGTTCATCAGACAAGACTGCACGCAAAAAGCGAACCACGTAGCAAGAAGTGCTGAAGGCACTGGTCGCAGTAGCAGCAACAGCAGCAGCAAGGCTGTCGGGATGGAGGCGGTGACCATCGTCGTCATCATTGCAGTCGACATCGCCGCAGGCGCAAAGCCAAAGGCAGAAGCAGTAATGAACCGTCAACATCCCGTCAGTGTTGTCTGCGCTGTCGTCAGCATCGTCGTTGTACCTGGAACTGATTTGACTGCTTCGTTGTATTGTCGAAGAGTTGAACACCCGGCTCCTCCGCTGCTCTCTGAAGTACGGCCGGCCTCACTGCCGGCAATGTGGATGTGATGGAGGCTCGTATCCGATGCTCCCTACAAGGCATGCTACGTCCCAAGTACGTACAGTGATCTCTCGAACAATGCTTCGCTGCAAGGACCCGCCGTGGGCCGAAGTGAAGAAAAAGCGGCAAGCCCACGCTGCAACCGACGGGGGTCGTTGAACCTACACTTGTGGGCTGCGACGCGGCTGGTGCTGGCAGTCAGCATAAGAACGAAATAGCCTTCGTGGGAAGAAGCCCCAAGTGAAGTGCGGCTGCACACAAGGTTCAAAGTATGACGAACAGGGGCGGTTTCAGTCTTAGGGCTCGGTGTGGCGTCAGCAGCCGGTACTTGGGAACTGGGGCTTTAAAACCGTTAAGCCAGGGAGCATGGAAGAAAATGCCGACACCGGCTGAGAGACGGCAAGCCACGCGACAGAATCCTGCAAAGCTCGGCGCTTCGGACCCGCCAAACAACACCAAGAGCCAAGGGACTCTTGTGTGTGATGCCGATTGCGACGGGCCACGAACGTGCTTGATCATGCCTGTGACGAGGATGATTAAGATGATTGTGGTGATGATGATGGTGATGATGGTGATGATGGTGATGATGGTGATGATAGTGATGACGATGACGAGGATGTTGGCGATGTCAATCACATTTTTCAGATGTTGGCGATGATTCGCTGATAGGTATGATGGTGCTACTGAAGAAGAAGATGATCATGATGCTGACGAGGATGGTGACGAATCTGGTGGTGGTGGCGGTGGTGGCGGTGGCGATGATGATGAGGATGGCGATGACGATCAAATTACTACAGATGTTGACGATGTTTGGTTGATACTACTAAGTATGCTGGTGCTGGCGATGGTCCTGATGTTGAAGAAGAAAACAAAAGATGACAATGATGATGATGCCTATGACAAAGAAGGTGGTGATGATGAGAATGATCCGGGTCCAGGGTGAATGTTGATGTTGCTGCTGATGGCGGTAACGATGGTCCTGTACTATGGTGACGAGGGTGAGGATAATGATGGTGACGAGGATGAGAAGGATGATGTTGCTGGTGAGAATTTCGATGAGGGCTACAATCACAATGATGGTTATGCTGCGGATGATGATGTATCTGAAGGTCATGATGCTGACGTTGATGGGGACGATGCTGACGACGGTTCTGGCAGCAAAACACGTCTCTTCAGTCACTTCTGACGTCCTCAAGCCTCCATCGAAGCGCAACTTTGCCCGAATCTTCGCCATGGCTTCATACTGGGTTTTGGGTTTGGATTTTGGGCTCTGGGGCTGTGGGTCTTCAAGATGTAGTAGCGTCGCGATTCAAAGGTTTAGAGCAATTGGATGCAGTCAAGTTTCTCTGAGAAGGCAGTTCCATGGCGTTAGTAGTCAAGGACTGTCCAAAATCGACGTGCAGAAAGCCTTCGGTAGATTCGTCATTCCCCTTTCTCCGTCCCGCGAGACTTTGCTAGGACATTGGACGGAACAGGAAGCAGCAAACATAGAACCTTTGCAGCATTGCTCATGACTTAATCGAATCTTGGTCATTGTCACTGCCGTTGGCGCCGAGATGGCTCGAGTCATGTACGCAGCCATGCCTGAGCAGCTTGCCCGGCCCAAAACGTGGTGGCCTACCCCCAATCATGTACCTGCAGGCGAAACCCGACATGCGCTAGCAACTGTCTGCGCAAACAGTCCAGAATCTAGTTTAGAACTTCCCGATGAGATACTTACAGCCAACTCCGGCCCTGCCTGCGGTTGACTGCTTCTGACCTACAGCAACCTGAGCTGCCTTATGCTATATTGACTCCAGTATAATTCCATACATGCTATTCTCGGTTTACTTGAACCGTAAACCAGTGTCGAAGTATGCAGCCCAGTACTTCAAAAATCTCAGCACACCCATGCCGCATGATGCTCGCAGGAACTTCAGTTGTGCCTTATCAGCCTTAGCTTTTGTGTGCATAGGCTTGCTGGAAGAAACAACATACACTAACCCCAGCCTACGTTGCTCGCCCAAACACGTCACAGGCATGAAGTGGATGTAGAGCTCCGTGCCGGATTACTGAAAACCCAGAAAATTCAATGAACCAAAACGCATCAAGAACAGCACACATTCCCCACTGCTGCGCAGCAATCTTGCTTGTGACAGCCCTCGCATTAAACCTTCCCACTTTGCTTCCGTGAGATTCTGCTGAGATATAGAAGGTTGCAGGAAGCCGTTCAAATTAGATTCATGGTGGCACGGCCAACAAGTGAGTCCCGGGAGTCTTCAATACTTTCACTACCCCTGGGGTAGAGACCGCTTGAACCATACACACCCATGCTTGAGCAGCATGCCCTGTCTACAGACGCGGTTAAGTGCGATCGGATCTGTATGATTGGCATTGTCGCTATCTTTTGCCAAACCACTACTGTGAGACGCATTTGTCGTAGCCATTCTTCGCAGCAACAGTACGAGATCCAGAAGCGGAAGAATATCAGCACCACTTCAACCACCACTCCAGTTTGTTGCCGTCTTCACACAGACCCTAGATCGCAAAAGGTTCAAGCTGCCATGTCTGCATCTCAAGAGAAACCGTTGGAGAAGAAGCAGGTCCGGCTTAGGGCTGCCGGGGGCTCTTGTCATTCGCCATGCGGCAGGCATGCCGTCGGAGATGAACCTGTTTTGCTCCGGCACGTAATGTGCATGCGCTAGGCGTGCCGAAGATTCTTTAGGTGTCTCTACGGAAGCTGCACCAGGCAGACGAAGCACAAGGGTGGCTACTGCGATACTGTAAATGTACATGTTCCCGAGTCTTCGATCCAGTTCGGAACGCGAACTTGCCTATGATCCTCTAGGACTCTAGAACAGGTCGGCCAGGGCTCAGATCGCCAGCCACTTTGGGCAGCAACTGGGATGACGATTCGCGACAGCATCAAAAGACCGCCAGTCCACGCAGGGGTCTTGCAAGCATTTCAGCTACCGAGTTCCTACAAGCACGAAGATTCTCAGACCGTTCTGCGTGGGGAGAAGCACTCTGGTCTTGAAAGCTAGCTCCTGATTGGCCGCATGGCAGCGGCAGCATCCTACCTCGACGGTGAAACCTCCTTCGTTTGCCATCTCATCCGCAGCTAGCGGTGCGCTCACTTGCAAGACAGGATCCAAACATGTGGATGATGGTGGTGTATATTGAGATTGTATGTATATGTACATATGTATATATATATACACACTGTGATTTCCATACATTGAGCGAGCAGATGACTGGACGGCATGAGCTTTTCCCACCGCTGCTCCGGGAGCTTCTCACCCTGACTACCACTCTCCAAGAAAAGAAACCCACAGTGCTCAGAAGGATGCTAAACCCGAAACCCCAAACCCTAAACCCACTTCAGTGGGTTCGACTCATACTCGCGGAAGCATATCTACCGTAGCAACAGACACATTCTGCATCATGCGACTACAAACATCTTGTCCGGAAATGAAATAGAAGCCATAGCCAGCAGTTCTACACCCACGGCTCCTTCCAGTAGTATTTTGCGAGGAAGGAATCTGACACACGTAGCGACAAGAGTCTTTGATAGCATGCATGTAGCGAGTTCGGTATATGGTGGAAAACCGCCTTCTTTCCAACCATCTTCACGCTTAGGGGAAAATCACAATAACACTACTCATATGGCAAATTGCACGGCAAAATATGAGCAGTCTCTGACACAACACCAAACCACGCGAAAACGGCAAGAAGTAAAAACAAAACAAGTAAAAGGTAGCCAACGAGGCACCTGTTGGCAACCATCCTCGAAAGGAGCTGAACCTATGATAATAATATTCATCTTGAAACGAGAAGAACGATGACCGTGGTAAACCTTACTGATGAACTTTCATGCTCAAAACAGCAAAAACGAATCACTCAGCAATCACAACAAAACTTCATTGCAGCTGACGATGCTGGAACCATCAATGAATCGCGTCTGCTGGGTTGCTACTGGTACTTCTGTGACGACACAACCATGACCACGATTGACAATTGCCACAGCTTCACCTTCTGCTACTGCCACCACCACCGCCACATTGTTGCTACTGCGCCTAAATCATGAGATGATAACAATGATGGCGCCGATAAAGTCCTATGTGAACAACTCTAGCAATAGCAGTGTAAGTCGCGGTCGTCGCGGTGGTGGCGCTAGTGAGGAGTACTACTAGAAATAGTAGGAGCAAAAAAAGAGAAGCACGAAGAGTGGCACAAATAGTAGTGGTAGTAGTCGTCGTAGTCGTGGTCTTCGTCGTCACTGCCGTCATCGTCGTCCCATAGCAGTAGCAGGAGCAATGGCCGTAGCCGCAGCAGTAGCAGAAGGAGTGGGAGTAGAAGTAGGAGGCATAGTAGTAGTCGTCGTTGTACTAGTAGTACGTAGAAGGTAGTAGGTAGTGGGTACTGAGTGAGTGGTGGGTAGTAGGTAGTAAATAGTACGTAGTAGGCGGTAGGTCGCGGGTAGGGGGTCGGGGCATCGGGGGTCGGGGCTAGTGAGTAGTGGTAGTGGTAGTGGTGGTAGCAGTAGCAGTAGCAGTAGCAGTAGCAGTAGCAGTAGCAGTAGCAGTAGCAGTAGCAGTAGCAGTAGCAGTAGCAGTAGCAGTAGCAGTAGCAGTAGTAGCAGTAGTAGTAGTAGTACCAAGACGATGACGATGTTCATGGAGAATTTTCTGTACATATATGTACGTACACATGTACATGTGTGCACAGTTGACAGTTGTCTACATACGAGTGCACATTTATACATGTGAGTACTTAAAGCTTTGCTTCGCAAACAGTTGTTCAACCTCGATTTCGTTGGGTCAAAGGCCTCCGGAAAAAGATCCCTACGACGCTACGCCTCACGCTTTCAGTCGAGGGCCAGGCGCAGCACCTGAAACTCCGCGGCTTGCGGTTGTAATACAGGAGCCGAAAAAATTAGAATAGGGTTTTGGGGACCATTACAGTATACTTATAATAAGGAGCCCCTAAAACAGTATTGGTAATTACAGTATTTAGGTTTCCAATGCTCAGGCGTTGAGGATGGGCGTACAAAAGTTGTGATCAGATTCGAGCCTAAGGGTTGGGTATCTGGGGGCTATAGATAATCGGCTAATCCAATAAATCCAGGATCCCCAAAAAAACAAAAACAACCGCGCTGTCTTGTCAACTTGAGGCAGAAGCACCTTCATGCAGGTAGCGAAGTGCTCCCTCGCCTGTTTGTCTGGAAACCTCGGTTCCCGGTCAGCGAATAGAATCTTCTTGGAGCATGTAGTATTCTATACATGCGCGTGCTGTTCTACCCGGGCGGGCACCACTTCACAGTGTTCTGCGCTGTTGTGTTTCGCACCATGCTACATGAAATCAAGTCTGAAGGATGTCAATGTTCATGCGTTCGTCTTTTTGCTGCTGGTTTCCTTGGACCCGTGCTTGAAGGATACGCACTGGTCATCCGCCATCACCAGGGTCACGCAGTTCTCGTCCAGAGGAGTCGTCACCTTTCATGGGCCAGGGCTTTCTTCGGGCGGATATCTTCAGTCTTCAGGGTTCAGCCTCGGGATCTGCGAAGAGGCAATAATGGAAACTTGATTGGATTTTAGAGTCGGGAACGAGATTTGGAAATCAGAAGACATGGCAGCACATGCGGTTGGTGAGCACTGGAGCAGTAGTCGCTCAGCGCCCGAAGCTATCGCTCTGCAAACGATACCAATCGACAATCGAAATCCGCTGCACAATACGAGAATCGAAAAAGTCCTTGCATATTTGCGTGTTCCTGAATCCCGGCAACCTCCAACAACTTGAAGCTGACTAATGGGAAGCCGAGACCTCCAAAACCTGCTCGGATACAGAAGAACCTGCGCCCCTCCCACCTTGCCGACAGCCAAACCCTAAACCGTGAACATCCCTAAACCCAAGCACCCTATCACCCAGGCACCCCTTAACCCCAGGCCCTAAAGCCCTAATGCAGGGGCCTTAATCATTAGAATAAGGTTTTGGGGCATATCCTACTATACCTGTAGTAAGGAACCCCCTGCAATAGTAGGCCCCTATATCATTCAACCGAACCCTAAAGCTCTAAGCAGTCTGTAGCCCAGGCGCCTGGAGGTCTTTGAGCTCCCCTCCCGAGCAAATCTCCTCGCAGCTCCGCTCGGGGCTTCTCTGGGGAGGGCTGGGCCACCGGAGAATCTAATATGGAAGCCCAAATAAGTACCATTATTCGTAGGGTCCCTATTATAACTATACCATAAACGAGCCCAGTGCCACATGCTACTTCTTAAGGCCCCAATATTACATGGGGCAGTTCTCTAAATAAGCGCCACCTTATCAGGGTAGCTCTTATTTAGATTCCTTCGGCACCCTGGTTTAAAAACAATCCTAAAACGGACCCTAAGTTATACCTACATGGAGGTCGATTGCTATCATCGTTTTGCCCGGCTCGTACTGTTGCTATGACTACGATCAGCGTGTCCTGAATGCTGGTCAAGTCGACGGTCCGCGTGGTGGACTGCACCTGGCTTTAGTCATAGGGACCCTTAGGGGGTACGGGGGAGGGGGGTAGGGAACCCTAAACCCTAAACCCCATAATAAGGACTTCATAAGGCCATTCAAGTGGGCAGTTGGGCATGAACCAGAGACAGAACTGGACGATGCTACAGACCTAAACCTTCAAAACCACCCGCCCTAAAGGGCCGACAACCCGATCTCCTTGTTTCATTGTTCCTTGGTACTTGGGATCTTGTCCGTGGTTTCGGGTATAACGATTCAGGGCCTGAAGTTGAAGGATCATTGTGCCGCAGGACAACCGGCCATGCTTTCGGCAGAACTGCTCCAGTGCCCGCATTGTCTGACCAAAGCACTTGGCTGCGATTGCACACAGACTCAAATCCGAAGTCATCGAAGGCAAAATCATCAACATGAAAATCAGTAGAAGGCCGGGGGCAATCGACAGAGGAGTCAGGCAGTGTGCAAAACTGGTGACAATGTAACGATGGAGAAAGCAGCAAAGGCAAAAGGCAAAAGTGACCTCCAAGCAAGACCTTAGCGTAGGAGCAACTCCGAGTTGCGTCGTCTCTGGGGCCTAGTTTCTTAGGATTCTCAAAATTTGGATGTCTGTAAGGGTTACTAGAAGGGCTACTATAGGGGTATTTTAGCATAGGAGGCCTGCAGCATGAGTATGGACAGCTTGCTGTCCATGACACAGCGGCATGGCACCTGAGTCCAGCAGTGAAGGGTGTATGGGCCACAGTTGGCCCATGATCACTGCTGCTTCTTGGTGCACTGCATCACGAAAGTACTGGTGGTATGCATCATGATTAAATGATACGTCAAAGCAACAACGAAGATTTAAACAACAAACAAGGACGATACCGTTTACGACACCACCGATGGTTGTGCTAGTAACGGGAACCACAAACGGACACTGCCATCTTTGGTGGTTAAATGCTGGCAATCGCAACAAGTGACGGTGACACTAACAAGAATGACAGCCGCAATTGCAAACTGCCTGAAATGCAACGAGAGTACAACGACGGACAGACATTCTGCATGATAGCCACAGCATCAAAAGCAGGAGACTCACTAGCACGATCACCATAGAATATTAAAAGCTTCAACCACACTGCCTTGCTAGCATCAGCGAGAAGCACATGGGGGAATAACCGAACAAACAAATATCTAGGCGGGGACCACACACCGCATGCGTGAGCACCATTTGGGAGCTCCGTAATATGAGGATCTCAACATACAGGTACTTAAATTAGGATCCCACTCTTGAATGTCTGTCTTGGGCTCCCGTGCTTTTCTGACACACTCCCCTGTTCAGCTCTTGGGAACATGTGCCCATCGATGGCGGGAGGAATCAGAGCTTACTTGAGGTGTGGCGCCGCGGAAGATACAAGGCTGAAAAGCCCGTTTCAGCGCGAACCCGACGAGACGACTAACACGACTAACACGTCGACTTTCAAGTTTTCACCTAAGTCGTTGAGAGTGTCAGCTGAAGGGCTTTCAGCATCTGAAGAGGTCTTTATCCCGTATAGGAACCCGCTCCACAGCACATGGGTCTTTGCATGAGGCTCCGGCGAGGGATCCATCTTCCAGGACAGCATCCAGGAAGACACCCTCCGGGACTGCGGTTTGAGGCTTTGGAGCTTTCTGCCAGGGGCCCGGGGTTCTCTGAGTTCAGAGCCCCGCCAGATGACAACAGATCGTGGTGTCTGTGATGGAGATCTTGGAAGTCCACACGCTGAAACAACGCCAGCTCCAAAGACAAGCCACAGTGGAGTCTTCAAACACATGCTGTGCATCTGGATAGAAGGTGTTCCGGGAGTTGTTCAGCTCATTTCTCAGCATGTTTTGCGTGGCACAAACTCTCGTCCTCACGCAAAGCCGCGAACACCAAAACCCCAAACCAAAGCCCCACAAGCCCACGCATGGATTGAGCTCTCAAGTTCTCCCACCCTGCACAGATCCTCTCAGCCCTAAGCCGAGAGACTTGAGACCACAAGTCAACCCTCGAGCCTGCAGAAACTCCATGACAAAATCCCGAATCATGTGTTGCAGCTTCGACATCTCCCTCGCCTGAGCGTGTGCTTGGGGAAGCCGACACTCGGCGGGTTCAGGGATGCTTAAGGGGTTTCAGGCGAACTTCGCCAGTGGGCCTTTGGTGTCTGGGGCTTCTGGACCAAATCATAAGGACCCTTAGGGGAGTAGGTGACTATACTCCCCTTATTAAGTCGTACTAAGGCCCCTTCGGGTCTTTATGACTAAACTCATCGAGGCTGCACCGGGTTGGCCTAACTGGTCTGGCTCCGTGGCTCAGGTGACTACCAGCAGCTTGGCATTTCACATGCATAGATTCACATGGGAGTGTCCGAAAATGAGGGAAACTTTTGTGGTCCTTATGAGAAGGATCCTACAAATTCTTTAGGGCCCCTGTTTTTGGAAACTCCCACACAGACAGTATGAAAGAGTTGCCAAGCCTTGGGGCCAGTATAGTGCATCCGGACTGAATAGATCGCACGGACAGCAAAGAAAATCATGAAGAATCCAGAGCTTAAGCTCAGGATTTCCTCGCCCCTCGGGCCTTTTGCTCCTCGCTGAGGCTGATGTATCCGGCACCTTCCGTCAATGCTCAGATCAAATGTTCTGCGGCTTGACCTGAAATTCAAGCACTGCCAGATTTTCTCGTAGTAGATGGTAAAACGAAATCGGTGGGCAAGTCAGAAAAGACTCATCAAGCTTTTGCAGTGGAAGGCCGGTGCAGATCAAAAACAAAAACAACAGTTAATGAATTCATACCTAACTTCCCCCCCATCCACCGCCGTACTTGCTCAAGCTTCACTGGTGGCGTGGGTGGTTACACCACGTCAAATCCACACAGGTTCAGCACTTCGAATCTCGCCGATACTATCTTGAAACCTCACAGTATCTCTGCCTGCCTACGTACGTGTGAGGATCTTGGAGCTCCACGACCACGAACGCAAGCTCCTGTGAACAGCCTTCTGATGAGTTTTGGCTCGGCGCCAGAATTAAGGACCTATCCTCGAGAAGACAGAGGTAGAGACACCGCCGCGACGCCGAAAAACGATTCAAGTCCGATGTCAGCGCTCTTCTCACATGCAACGCTGCAGCCAACTTCGACGATGCTCAATCATCAGCATGGATAACCCAGGAGCAGGCTGATGCGAGAGCGAAGCGGGAAGACCTTTGCGTGCTGCTGTGAAGACATGTCGAAGTCTCCCCTGCGGTCAAAATCTCTTGGGAGAGTGTGAAAATCACACCTTGTGAGGAAGCTTTCGATGCCCAGGACGTGCCATCTCTGGGCATCTTGCCGGTTGTTTCAACATGCAAAGCCGAAGGCCCCTGAATACCGAACCCTTTGAACTTTGATGAAGTTCGGCTGCCTCGAACTAAGCCACGGCCAACACTGCCAGAGGCACAAGTTGGAAAGTTTCAGCATCACTGCCATGAAGATCACCCTCTTCAGCATCTCAAACCTACCAAGAAGAGCCCCGCAGAACCCACTCCAACCCACAACGACAGCTGCCTGGTGAGGCCGTGGAATCCACGCTGCGGATGCTGAAATCGGGCGGCACTTGTAGGGACTTCCGCTCTCCCTGCACAGCGACCCAGTGCCGTAGCTGTAGTCCACAACCAAAACCAATTAAAAAAGGAATTCCAGTCATAAGACTAGTCGTAGCTGCAGCAACGCTAGCACTGACAACGCCACACTCACTACACGACAGTATCAAAGGCAATGACACTTGCAGCAGCATCAATAGTTTGCCTTTTCGGGCGCTGAGAGGCTGGTTCTGGCTTCGCGGTTGAAGGCAGCGGGGGAGGGGGGGTCCTGCAGCCCTGCAACTCTGATCGTTCCTTATTTCAGCTTCCACCTTATGGGGATCCAAAGTCCAAGTGCCGAAAACCTGCCACACCCCCGCGGTACTCCTCCCCTTGAACATGCATCCTTCCCTATCACTATCTGTGGGGCCTGTACTGCTATTGTTGCTGCTGCGTTGAAACACAATGGTCCCACGGCTCAGAGTCCTCATGGGTAGCTTCTGACTTGTTGCGGCCATGTACAGTGTTGACGATTGGCTTGTTTTTGCCGGGTTTGTATTCCTGATCACCATCATTGCGGATTCATAATGCGATACCCGATACCCACCAAACCCGAATGCAGATACCGTTTTCCAAGCCAATACTCCGGATTTGCCTACTATGTCTATCAGTGACCATGATGTGCACTGTGGGATAGATCACTGATTTTCTGGGTAATAAGGAATTAAACTCTATTGTTTTCTACTATATATCCTCATTATTATGGTAATTAACCTAAACTCAGCTCTTTAGCTTAATCGAGGGCCCGGCTGCCGGTGGTAACTCCATCGGCGTCCCAGTGTGAAAAACCTGGCGCGTTCTGGGAACTTGTCTCTTTGAAGGGCTGCGGCCTGCGCTGCGACACGATTTTACAGGGGCCAATGCGTTGCGGATAAGCTGCATAGACTCTTTTAGGCTGGGCAAGATCCAAACTTGTTCCATCATCTAGCTGGGCGGCCAGGCAAACAGCGCAATGAGGGAGGGGAATGGCAGGACTGAATGTAGTCGGGAAGAAGTCAAGTTTGAGCTTGAGCGGACATGAAGAAACCGTGCAGACCTCAGGCTTTCACGGATTAGGGAGATCTTCTCCGACATGCGCCTTCTAACAAAACCGACGACCGCTCATCACCACCCGAAGCCCAGATGCGCCTGCTCGTGGCCATCATCCGGCTGTAGGCAGCAACACCTCCAACCACATGACTTGCTCAGCTTGCTGTTCGGGTCTGGCAGTTGAGTCACCGCAACCCGAAGCCTGCCGAACATTGCAGCTTGCGGGGTCGCACAGCGCCCAGTGCCCAGCACGGCCGCAAACAAAGAGTGCAGGACGACTCGCAGGGCGTCGGCAATCTCAGCTTCGCAGCTAGTCTCAGGCAGCACGCTATGCTGAATCTAAATTCCGTCATCAGCCTCTGCTTGGCGTTGTTCTGAGGACGTGAACCGACCCCTGCAAAGAAGCACTACGACTGCCACGGTGAGGTCTGTTTTGGTTTTGCCGTGCTGTGAGCACAGTGGTCTACTGCGGGCCGAAACAAGGGGCGAAGGCGAGAAGCACAGTCCGGAGCGCTAATCTTCTTTGGATTTCCTTAGCGCGGCCGCCGCGCAGTTTGACCTACTAATGCAACTCATGGTGGTTCTGTCTCGTGCGGATGAGGCTTCTAGCCCAAACAGTGCACAAGACTTCGACGCAGACCTCCCAAACCCACAGCTGCAATGCCACAGAACTTCAAAGCTGTGGCCCTTTCTTCACCACAGGACCGGCTGCTTTCCTGCTCGCACCGCTGCCGAAAAGAGTCGAAAACTGCGTTCATGGGCAGCCGTGCCGGATCTTGCATTTGGTATATATGTGTATATGTGTCCGGATGTATAGTGGGCTCGATATCAGTAGCACTCTATTATCCATGACCATACAACACAGAAGAGTTATCGAAATCGTCGTCGTAGTAGTAGTAGTGGTAGTGGTAGTGGTAGTGGTAGTGGTAGTGGTAGTGGTCGTGGTCGTGGTCGTGGTCGTGGTAGCGGTAGCGGTAGCGGCAGCGGCAGCGGCAGCGGCAGTCGCAGTCGTAGTCGTAGTCGTCGTCGTAGTCGTCGTAGTCGTCGTAGTCGTCGTAGTCGTCGTAGTCGTCGTGGTAGTCGTAGTAGTCGTAGTAGTCGTAGTAGTCGTAGTAGTCGTAGTAGTAGTAGTAGTAGTAGTAGTAGTAGTAGTAGTAGTAGTAGTAGTACTTGTAGTAGTAGTAGTAGTAGTAGTAGTAGTAGTAGTAGTAGTAGTCGCGGTAGGCATCGTAGTCGAACCATCGTCGTAGCAGTCGTAGCAGTCGCAGTAACTGCAACAGTCGCAGCAGTCGTAATTGTCGATATAGTCGCAGCATAGTCGTAATAGCACTCGCAGAAGTGCAGCAGTCGCAGCCAGTGCAGTAGTCGCAGCAGTCGTAGTAAACGTAGTAGTGGCAGCAGCCGTAGTTGTCGCAGTAGTCGCAGTAGTTGTAGTCGTTGTAATAGTCGTAAAATCGTTGTCGTCGTAGTCGTCTTAGAGCTAGTCGTCCTAGTCGCCGTCGGAGAGTGGTATCCTTGTTGTTTTTGTTGCTGCTGCTGTTGTTGTGGCCGTTGTTGCTGTTGTTGTTGTTGTTGTCGTTGTCGTGGTCGTCGCCGCGGCAGTCGTGGTAGTTATTACTGTTAGTTTGCTTGTTTATTTTTTGTTGGTACCAGTACTGTTAGTAGTAGTAGTAGTAGTAGCAGCAGCAGCAGTAGTAGTAGTGGGTGTGATACTTAGTTCAGTAACTCTGCACTTGCCGGTGAGCTCCGAAGCCTGAAACCTTGCGTTGTAGGATTCCAGTTTTAGGGCCCGGTGCCAAAGCGCCATCTAACTACAGAATAGACTCTCCATTGTGGAAATGGGCTGTACCTGAGACCGACAGTGCAGAGGTCAGCATCTGCAGTGGAGTTCAACGGTGCGGAGCTTTAGGCTCAGTCTCCAATGAAAGGCGTTGTTTCTAAAATTAGATTTTTCCTGTAGGATGCCCACCTTCATAGCAGCGGTTGTCAGTGCAGTGTATTAAGCGGAGGACCCTACAATTTACAAGGGGCCATGTTGAACGAATCCCCATATGCTGCCAGTTCGAGCCCCGCACGTACCTACCTTTCGATTGACCCTTCTGCCACTCAGTTTTCTGGGAGCCGATTGCTGCCGCGGTCGCCCACCGGGATCAGAAGTATATCTGTCAAAGAAGGCACAGGAAGACTCAGAGCAGCAAGAATGACGTCACGGTATTACCAAGTAGCAACTAGCAGCCACAGAAAATGCCAGTAGCCAGAATGCAGAGTCTGATCAATTTTCCTGTCGCTGCCTTGCCCTTCTTGCTTGGCTCACCCGAAGTCCTTGGACAGAACGAGGTTGCAAACGATCATGGCAAAAGGCGGCTCTAAAGCTTGGTTGGTGTCCTCATGAAGCACTCGAGTATTACTAATATATATATATATATATATATATATATATATTCCGCTAATATGATTATTAGTGGTCGTATAATTACTCGTAGCGGTTTTATCATTTTATCATAGTAAAAAATGATGTATTACTATGATGACCATTCGTGTGTTTAATTGTCGCCTTGCTAGCATTGCAAGTTCTACTGTCTTGAGGGTTGTTGTGGCCCACATGCAGCGAGCTCGGATGCCCTATACCGTGCATCCAAACAGTTCCCTCTAGGATTCTGCAAAGGTTCTTGTTGGTGCCGATGCCGAAGAACATGCTGCTGCGCTTGCCAGCTCCCATCAGGGCCTGTTCCAAACCGAGGCTGGGGATTTGGTGCTGGCGGCTTCAACCCAACTGTTGTAACAAGCTTCAATGATGCAGCATGTGCTCGGGAAGTGTGCATGCAAAAGCGATGGGCGTGACATGAGACCCGTGAGATTGCCGACTGCTCCAACTGCAATAAGCAAGCCGCCTGCTGGCGAATCTCCGCCATTTGCACAGCCGTGTCGGCTTTCTTCTCGGCATCTGCCAAGGACACGCTGGCAGTATCCCTCGCCTAGCCTTCGACAACTCTACTCTAGTTCAGGCTTGATCTTGCCGAGCTGCCGAAAGTCGGGCCCAAAGAAACGATCGGCACCTGGCGACGATGCCCGTGGGAGGGCCGACAAACGAGGGCACAGCTTGGGCTCCAGAAGATTGAAGGGAATGTGAAACCAGATATCAGGGTCTCGGGTCCTGGCAGGCGAGTAGACTACATCACTACGGAATCACTCGCCCTGTCAGCATCATCATGCCTACTACTGCCAGTCTACCAGGAAAATATAGTGGCCTTAAGAATTAGACTGGGGTTTCGGGGCCTTCTGTACTATAATTACGGTAAGAAACCCCCAAAATAGTACTGGTAATTATTGTGGCCCCTGTATTACAGTACCCTTACAGTATCCCTTAAAGTAGCCCTCATAGACCCCTTTAAAGGAACCCTCATTATCTAGGCCCCTTTCTTTCAGGCAATCCCTGGGCTCCGGGCATTCGTAGTCAGAGCCACGGTCTGATAGGCCCGGAGCAGCTCTGGGAGAGCCTCGAGGAACAGAAACACCTCTTGAGAATTCAGTTTCCTGCGGAGGCAAACTCTTCACTGCTTGAACATCTCAAGATGAATACTGAAGGAGACTTTTCAATAATGGCAAACCCTGGCTGCGAAAGGATGACTGTGCTCGCAGGCTGGCGCAGGCTCCCCACTTGCTAGTACTAACTTTGGCGAGCTGCTGCTTCCTGGGCGTCACCATGCCCTGCCACCACCACGTCCACCGTGTTGGACCTCAAGTCACGGACTTCATGCCCGCCCGAACAGCTCTAAAGTCGAAGCCTCGAGGCCCAGAAACCCTGCTGCGGTCTCGGACTGGACAGTATCTCAATTACTGTGATGATGATCATGATGATGATGAGGATGATGACCGTCATCATCATCATCACCACAATCAACATCATCATCACCACCATGTCGGTGACGACGCTGTTCATCACAACACAATCCTAATGATAATGATGCTGATGATGACGATGATGACGATGATGGTGATTGTGATGGCCGACGAGGAGGAGGAGGAAAATGCTCACGCTACTTGTGAGCACGCTGAAGATGACGAGGACGGTGAGCATGATGAGGAGCATGAGGATGATGAGGATGATGAGGATGATGAGGATGATGAGGATGATGAGGATGATGAGGATGAGGATGGCGATGCCAATGATGATAACTTCATAACGATTTTGGCGAAGATGATAATGATTTTGATCATGCTGATGGCTGTGGGGATGCTGGTGGTGGTCGTGGTCATCGTCATCGTAACAGCAGCGGCAGTTGCAGAACCAAGAGCTGTTCTTGTGCTGCTAATGGCTAGTCGTCGTCCTAATCGTATTACCAGGAGATGGCGGTGTTTGCGAGGAAGCGACATCAGACGCAGCGGCCACTGCACAACCACCAACCGGAGCAGCAACACCACATGATCAGCATGACGAGCAGTCACGACTTTGATGACGAAGATGGTGGTGGTGGTGGTGGCGGCAAACACGGCAAGGGAAAGGACGAAGTTGATTCCCCTTCCTGTTCCAATCTTACTCTGGCTATGCTACAGGTAATATAATCAAAACCAACAACATGAAGATCATGCTGCTGCCGATGATGCCGGTGATGCTGATACAGCATTATCAACATCACCACGTCATCATCACCATCATCATCATCGTCACCAACATTAACATCAACAGCATCATCATCAACAATAGCATCATCAGCATCAGTATGTATCAGTATCTTCCGCATGTCCGTGATAACCCTAACTGCCCTAACTTTCCTCGCCTCAACAGAAAGACTCATGCCATGTTGAGGCTCCGGCATTGCAAGGAGCTTGGCTGCCAGGGGCACCTGTTCCGCCTCTGGTACCTGATCGGCAGTATCTTTTGGCAACTCCGGACGTCCTAAGCTGCACGTTCATGGTTTCAGCTTCCTTTGCAATTCGGTTGTGGATATCTGAGTGCTTTCGTTGTTTCTGGTATTGAAGCAACTGCTTAGGCTCATCAGCATAGAATTGCCCGAGTCGAGGCTACGGGGTGTCGTCTGCAGTGTACACACATTGGTGGGTGAGTGCTGGCTTGACTCGTCCGGCGCAGGATGCGGATGCCGCTTTTCTTTGACAAAGTCAAGAAGCAAACCAAACTGACATGGTCAGTCTCAGTTCCCCTTCCTAATTCTTGGACAGGTCTTGGTGCTGTGGTATGTCACGAATGAACCCTGGTGCGGCTGCTTCCCTTGTAGGGTACACACAAATGGCAGCAAGCTTTTGTGATGCACAGACGCTTCATGAATTCATGTATTGCCTTTCTCATTTGTTCCAGTTATGCTCATGTACCTGTCGCCTATCTATCACCCACACTCTTCTGAAAAGAGCTGCGGCAGAGCATCCGCGCACCTCTGTTTGAAAGTACGTGGCATTCGTCACGTTCAACCTGGCAATTCAAGGGCCACGTATGGACTGACTAAACGCATACTTCCGTGCTGGAGCCAGGGTCATTGGGCGAAGGCTGCCTAGCAAGACTAGTTTTCTCAGCAGTCACACGAACACTAGTAACCACAATAACACCAACAAAACACAGCAACAATTTTTCAATTGTAGTAATTTAACAAATACAACAATAACTATAATAATGGTAGTAATATAATTAAGTCAGGTTGACACAATATCATAATCGTACATTTAATATGATTGTATACAAATATACACAGATGATAGCAACACTCGGCCAGGTCGGCTTCTCGAGGGCCGCACGCATCTCCTGTAGCGCCACAGGTGTCCAATCAACTCTTGCTTTTGCCGCGTCAACGACTCCCACTGCCTCCATTATTGAGGTATAAACCCAGTAGTGAAGTAAACAATCACGGGATTGGGCGGCAACACATGCAAAGCTTGTGCCGGCACTGGGTGTTGGAACTGCAGAAGGCGCGGGCTTAGGGCTCAAGGACCCTGCTGCTCCTCAGCCTTGTCCTTCAACTCCGGCACGTGGATGAGGCCTACTCGGACCTGGGCCGAGGCGAGGGTATCTGCTAATTAAGATGAATGGAGGTCCTCAACCAGAACGTGAAGCTACCGTCTCGGCATTTGCGCCTTCGGACTCTTTTGGGGAAAGCACGGGTAGATACAAGTCCGACACATGCTGCAAGTGCGAAAAAGACATGCGCCACGAGAACTATAGGAGGGGCATGCGTATCAGAGAGCGACACAGTCAAACTGCTGAACTATCACAGACTGTCAAACAGGCTCAAAACGCATGATGCAGGGGCACTAAGGGCTGCTCGATCCACGGGTTCCGCTCAGCAAAGTGCTACAAGTCTCTCTGCATCTTACGTAAGGTGCAAGCTCTACATCATGTAGACCCAACGTCCTAACCAAAACGTAAACCCTGAAAGCACAAAACAAACCCCACGCCCTGCTAGGGTTCCCACGCCCTCTGCAGCATCGGGTCCCTCAGCGCGGCGGAGAACGAAGTGCGGCCGCGGCGAACTTCTGGCATCAGGAGGGTCATAGCGAAACTTTTCTCGTAACAAGATTGGTTTGAACAGCTTCACATCACCTGCTGGTATAGTTTAGTTCTGGAGTTGAAGAGAAGGCAGTATCGATGGTAGTACTGCACTAGCACTAGCACTAGCACTCGCATTAGCACTAGTACTAGTACTGAAAACCTAGTACTAGTACAAGTACTGGTGCTGGAACTAGTACTAGTACTAGCAGTCTTAGTAGTACTACCACTGGTAGTAGTAGTAGTAGTAGTAGTAGTAGTAGTAGTAGTAGTAGTAGTAGTAGTAGTAGTGGTAGTGGTAGTGGTAGTAGTGGTAGTAGTAGTAGTAGTAGTAGTAGTAGTAGTAGTAGTGGTAGTGGTAGTGGTAGTGGTAGTAGTAGTAGTAGTAGTAGCAGTAGCAGTAGTAGCAGTAGCAGTGCAGTAGCAGTAGCAGTAGCAGTAGCAGCAGTAGCAGCAGTAGCAGTAGCAGTAGCAGTAGCAGTAGCAGTAGCAGTAGCAGTAGCAGTAGCAGTAGCAGTAGCAGTAGCAGTAGCAGTAGCAGTAGCAGTAGCAGTAGCAGTAGCAGTAGCAGTAGCAGTAGCAGTAGCAGTAGCAGTAGCAGTAGCAGTAGCAGTAGCAGTAGCAGTAGCAGTAGCAGTAGCAGTAGCAGTAGCAGTAGCAGTAGCAGTAGCAGTAGCAGTAGCAGTAGCAGTAGCAGTAGCAGTAGCAGTAGCAGTAGTAGTTGTTTCTATTGTTAGTAGTTGCAGTGGTAGTAGTGGTAGTAGACAGCAGCAGCAATGGCAGTGGCAGTGGCACTGGCAACGGTAGCGGAACACAAGAAGTGGCAAAGCTTCAGGGCTCGAGGCTTGGATTGTTGAGTTACCAGCTGACGAAGATGCAGGGCTTCAAATGGACCACTGTTGGGAATATGACGACGACAAAACCCAGAAGTGCCTCTGCAGCGTATGCCCAGCCAAGGCACCGCTTCCTGCGCTGCCTGGGGGGACACACGCAGGCACAAGGCGTTGGGTGTGGGCTCCACGCTCGAATGTTGTCGGTACTTTCGAAGATCTGGAAGCATAAAGCCGACAACTCGCGTATTGAGCTGAGCTGCTTCTCGGCAGCAGGAAGGTCCTGGAACGGAGAACATCAAGGCAATTTGAGAGACTGTGCGCTGCCTGTGCGCCACAGCTATCGTGTGCATGTCGGATCCCACATGCAACTTCAACTCAGGGCTCTTACCGCAAGCCTCCTCAGTTCAGCTGCCAGCGGTAAGCTATTGTATGGTTGGGACGAGGCGACATGCGGATCATAAACTACATGCGTCATCCGTCCTGGCCAGGGCATCGGTAAGCCAACCTGGTCGAAACTCAAGGGCACTGCTTACATTAACAGTATTGCTGCTATTACCGTTCTTACTGTGTTATGCTTATTATGACTAACGGCATCAATAATGTTAGTTATTGCTTTTTATTGTTTATTGTTGTCCTACTTATGGCTGTTACAACTATTACTTTTGTTGTTGTATTTAGTATTAGTATTAGTATTAGTCGTAGGAGTATCAGCATCAGCATTAGCAATAGTACTAGCATCAGTAATAACAACAGTGACAGTATTAGTAATAAGTATAAGTGTTAGTACTAGTACTTGTGCGAGTACAAGTACGAGTAGTAGTAGTAGTAGTAGTAGTAGTAGTAGTAGTAGTAGTAGTAGTAGTAGTAGTAGTAGTAGTGGTAGTAGTAGTAGTAGTGGTAGTGGTAGTAGTGGTAGTAGTAGTAGTAGTAGCATTTGTATTTGTATTAATAGTACTACTACATTACTTTTTTTCTTCGGAGCGATTGAGTCGAGTACGACGCACGCCTAGCAAATGAATTCAGACAAGAGTGAAACTGAAATGGTCAGCGAGGGGGCGAGCGTAAGCCGTCTTGACAGCGCTCAAAACCTCCCTGTACCAGCCAGGATGTTACAGGCTCAAGGCAGCCTAAAGCAGCCGAGCATGCTCCTAACCTGACCGGTGCGACCTTTGCCTGTTGCACCAGAACCCCAACGGAATCGCAAGCAGCCTCGAACCACCGTGCATGTCGCTCAGCCACGGACAACGGAACACTGCAGTGGAAGGGGAATCGGAATTCAGGCAATGGGGGCGGGTCCAGCTGCAAAAGAAAGGGAGGACCCGTGAGAATAAAAGAGAAAGAGATGTCCAGAGGAACATCGAAGGCGGGTAGAAAGTCCAGACCCTTGGGAACCTTCGGACGATGCCGGAAAATGTCACAACAAAGCTCAGGATCCAAAAGGAGAGCGACGTTGGACGCCAGGGCAGGAGCATCGGGATGCGCCGAGTCGTGGATAGCCCAGGCTGCAACCGTAGCACGGAGATGAGCCAGTGGGGCTATAAAGTCAGCAACCGTATCCCAAACCAAGTTTTCATTTGGCTCCTCGATGTCCAGCAGGGCCGTCAAAAGTCCTGGATGCACCTCAGGGCAACTGGCCTTGCCCGCGTCAGGCACGAAAAGGCCGTCAAGCTGCACCGGCGGGGCAGCTGGGTGTGGTGCAACTTTATCGGCCCCTGTGGGCGGGTGGAAATTGCCCCAGTTCTGCTGGCAGGACAGGGAGAAGGCAACGTGGCGTCGGAGTCGGCCCTGATTGGCATAGACCTTGCCACACGCTCTACACCAAAAACCCTTGACCCCGGTGGTGAGAACCGTGGCAGTGGTTCTGTATCCATGAAGTTTACTGGCGTGGCAAGCCCAGGCAGTTCTGGACCCAAAGGCCATTTTGCATGGAATGCAAGCCTCGGTGAAAGGTGCCTCAGCATCTCCCCCAGCAGCAGGGTCGCGAGCTGAACCAGACTCCTTGACACACCGAGCAAGAGCAAACAAAGCTGCGCCGCAAGTCAGTCGCAGCACTGCAAGACGTTTGGCGCGCTTCACCCAACCTCTGAAACGACCCGGCCGATCAGTCATGACTCGTTGCCAAGGAGTCCAGTCAGAAAGGGGGTCCGGCAGAGGGATCGTGGCTCTCAACCACCCGTACAACCAGGAGAAAGCGTCACGGTATGCTTCCAACAAGCCGCCATCGAGACGAGTCAATGCCCATAAAGCATCTGGGGCTGCAGCAACAAGCTGCCGGGTGTATCGCAGCCGCTCAACTCGGAGAGAGGTGAGGGGGTCCGCAACTCCGAGCAAGGCACATGTTTCAGCACGGCAGATGTGTTGGTCATCTGTGTGAGGAACACATAGGGTTTGGCGAAGGATGCCCATCATGGCGCCAGACAACGCCTGCGCTTCGCCGTGCCTCAAGAGGGGCCAGGAACCCGCCCCAAAGAAGAGACGTGTCAAGACAGCTGACCCCAAAAGAACCCCTCGGCGTGCGAGTGACAGCTTTTTATTGCGGTAGACTGCCTTTCGACCTTGCCTAAAGGCTTGCCAAGCACTGCCGCAGCGGAACTTAATCTCGACGAGAAGTGAGCATTGAGGCGTCTGCATCATCCCGAGGTGCTTATAAGATGTCACGACCGGGAGCTCAGCAGTCGAGTCTTCCAAAAGCACTGGCAGAGAAGCTTGCCGGCCAAACAACTTTGACCTTGCATTGCGAGATCCGGGACCCGTAAGTTTAATCATCGCAGCTGTCTTGGTAGCGCCAAAAGTTAATGTGTACCCGAAACTCGCGAAGGCTTCGGCAAAATTGGAGGTGCTGGTAGCAACGCGAACAGAGGCGGAGGCAGCATCATCCAAGACAACACATTCGGCAACATCATCAGCCCAGACAACATCTTCCAAGGATACTGAGGTCACAGGGGCAGAGGAATGGCTGAAATCTCGCTTCCCATCCCACGGGATGGTGGGCTTGGCCGCAGCACCGGGTGTTGTGCCGCGAGGGCATTTTTAAGACTAAGAATGGCAGCCACCCCAGCTCCGAACATCAAGTCAGCAAAGGTGGAGCCAGGCCTGGATCCCCGGCGGGTTTGGACGGGGTGCCCATCCCCCGCAACGGTGAACCAAGTCCTCCTGTGCATTTCCGCAACGACCGCCTCAAGCCAGTCGCTTGCACCGCCCTGTTTCAGCACGCTCGGCTTGCACAGCTGCTGCTGAAGCCCCTCGTGATCTGGCAGGAAATCAAGATCCTGTGAGTGACTTAATGCACAGGGATGCCGGGCGGTCAGCTCCCTTAGGGAGCTGTAGTACGCAGAGGCAACGTCCGCGAAGATCACTGCAAAGGATCCTTTGATCTGATTTTGCCAGCGGCAAAACCCTCGCACAATGTGTCCTCCGAAGACTACTGAAACGCCACGACGGCCGCCTAAGAGCGTGGGAGGGGCACATGCATCGATGTGACTATATAGCCGAGGCCTCAGCGAACGGTGCAGTGCCTTGGCGATTGTGGGTAGAAGCATGATGGCCCTGTACGAGCTGCAGTCCTCGCGTGAGCCTCGTTGCTTGTAGAGCGTACACAGGGTGGAACCCTGAAGGCCAATTGCTTCCGTTCCGCGAATGCAGAATTTCAACAGGAGAGGGAGGAGGTGGAAAACCAAAGCCGGCGGAGCACCGGCTAGGGCCTCACCCGGCACAGAGTCCGGGCCAGGTGCTTTCCCGGCCTTGGAGGCAGCAAGCGCCCGCAAAAGTTCTCCTGGCGCTGGAATGTCCAGAAGAGACGGAGGCAAAGGCCAGGGTCCGACCGGCGCAGATCCTGCAAGATCTTCTGGCTCGCATCGGTGTCCGGCTTCCATGTCCCCAAAGTGTTGCCTCCATCGGTCCGTTATTTCAGCCCCAGTATGACATAAAGTTCCATCAGCTTTGCGGAGACGGGGCAGTACATCAGGGGTGAAGGCCTTCTTATGCTTCTGCTTCAAGAGCTGCTGGAGTGCGGCGGCACCATCTGCTTTGTTGGCTTGGACAGCATCGGCTAGGGCAGCAAGGTGTGCCGTACGGTCGGCCTTACACCGCTGACGGAGCAACATGGCAGCTGCCCTCAACTGTTCCCCACAAGCATTGCCCACATGATCGGCCTGATGGGCCCATACAAAATCAGATGGGAGACCGTTTGTTTTGCCCTGCCAGATAGCAAAAAAGGCGGCAAGGGTGTGCCTCCGTACTGCCTCCCGAAGGCGAGCACACCGATGACGGAGAGAAGCAACGTGGCGGTGTAGCTGCCAAGTCTCATCAGACAGATAGCTTTTCCGGGGGGCAGCCTTAGGCACAGGGAACTCCGCAGCAAGTGCCTCATGGAGGTTGCGGACAAGTATGGCAGCATGCGAGTCAGCTGAGACCTCCCAGGGAATGATAGGAAGGCGGCTGAGTATCCCTCGGAGGCGTTCCCTGTTGGCAGGAGCTCGCAAAGCTGCCGCGTCAATACGGGGCTTCCTGGCGCGCTGCGGGGCGGAAAAACCAGTTAGTTGTGCGCCAAGCCTGACCACAGTAGCTAGATGGTCTAGGCAAGCCTGTCCTGCGTGGATGCACGGCTCAACCCATGCTTCAACCCGGGCATCACGCCAGGCCTGAGGAAGGGCGACAAAGTCAGGCCGGGTGGCTGCAGAGTTACGCTTCTGGAAGAAGGTCCACCCTTTGCCATGTTGCGAAGCCTCCCATGTGGCCGGAAGCCACAGACGGCAGGAAGCCGCAAGATCCTGAACAAAGGATCCGGCCAGATCTTGCGGCTCAGCATAGGCATCGCTGACGGCCTCATCAGTGAGGCTTCCAATGCAAGCATTGAGATCACCTCCCAGGACAAGGGGTGCGATCTTCGCAAGTTGAGTGCACCGCCGAATGGTATCATGCCACCATGCTGAGAGCACTTCCTCCGGGTGTCCTCTGTGTGGTGCATGGAGGCAGACAAAATGCAGGCGCAAGTCTCCCTGCTGGAAGTGAACCACAAGCCTTCTCGGGTCACTAAACAGCACGGAGCAGGCATCCTTACTCAGAGATACGAGGCGCTCCTTCCCCCTAGTAACAACTGGGAGATCGCGTCTTAGCCAGATTTCAACACCGAGATGGCCTCGTTCAGTACCAGCACAAAACCTGAAGAACTCAGCAGTGTTGAGAAAGCCCTCCTGAGTCCGCGCCTCTTGAATGAAGGCAACTCCAACGCTATGCTCCCGTAAAGTGGAAGCAAGCATGGCCGGTCGGCCAGCAGCAAATGCTATTCCCTGACCAGCCCCATCAGCATAGGCTTCACCATTTAGGGAAAGAACGTTGTACGAGATCACCTGGAGGGCGAGCCATGCATCCGAGACCTCGGCATTGGCAGGAAGGTCCTCCGTTCCAACAGGAAGAAAGGGGGCGACCTGCTCAGCAGGAGTGAGTTCCAGCGGGACAGCAGGAGGCGCCTCATGCTGCGCAAACAGTCGGGGCATCGAGGGACAT